AAAAATTAAAAATTTAAAAAGGGGTTCGTTTTCCAATTTTTTTTTTTTTTTTTAAAAAAAAAAAATTTGTGTAAAAAAAAAAAAAAAAAAAAAAAAAAAAAAACACCCAAATTCTGTAAATTTGTCTTTTACTAAAGCCAATCGAATAATGGGGATTAAACTACAATTTTCTTTTCAATACCACTTGAGTCTAAGACCACTTAAGTTTTCTAGCAGTAAGTACGGATTTGGAGAGGTGCGTGAACTTGCATGGAATGACCAGAAGCACAAAAACATCACAGTAAGAAGCCAGCCATCGCCTCCACACTGGTGCTACAACAGCCCAACACTTGCAACAAAACTCGGGTAAAAGTTGAAGGGCAGCGTAAGACTCAGTGAGGATCATGGGGCAGGCCACCAAGACTAAACATCTGTTTGGCTTCAGATTTCAAAATTAGCGGCTCTCTTCTTTTGCAGCTTTCCACCCACAGCATTCACAGCATTTTAATTGCCTTTTTGTGATTGAACAGCTTACACTTGTTTATTTTCGTAGCAGATTGCTCACAGTTTACAAGCCTGTACCTTTTGTCGTGCATCGATCATCAATACTGTAAAAGCAAACATTTAACCATCAGGATTCAATGCGAGGGAATTTTTTATTTTTTTTTACACATGCTGCAGACTCCAGAAGCTGACCTACATAAATAAAACCAGCTTGTAAACCAGTGCAGTCGTTATAAATAGCTGGCTTAATTACCAACAGTGGATATAGATTTTTGAGGCAGGGCAAATGGCCTTTATTAGAGAGAGGGTAAATTGACAACATGACGGGAGTGAACTACAAACATCTACATCTATGCCGAAAGGTGGTGGGGTGGGGTCCATTAGCTAAATTACACAGCAGGCTGATGGCTTCAAGTCTTCAATGCAGACGGGCTTAAACTGCCCTGCAACAAGATCCCGTGTGTAAACACAGAGATCCCGAAGTACAGGACTGTTATTATGTGAATGGCTGCTACTTTGGGGCTACATTTCTTAGAGTTATGGGGCTCTAACAACAGGAGCGTAGTTAATAGGACTGCTTAAGGGCCAGACATAAACCACGAGCTACTTGAACCAGTACACCCAGTTTTCTATTCACACTTCTAAGGTCTAATTAGGAGAGCATGACTGATGACACAGAGCTCTGCGTCGCACACGTACACAGAACAGGAAGAGTGCACAGCTGAGCACAGCCACTAAGACATGCAGAGAGAAGAAGAGGTGCTGAACAAGCAGAACACTGCAGGGAAAGAGGAAGGGATCATTTAGTGTTGGGATTGGAGGAGGGGACCATTAGCTGGTTAGCAGTCGGCCAACCATAGCACCAGTGTGGGGATATTAAAGTTGCTTAAAGTTTCACAGCTGTGTAAAGTACCCTATGCTCCAAATAGATACTAACGGACCAACATAAATTTTTGTCAGTTTGAGTTTCTCCATCTTAACTCGGCGTCGTTCTTATGTTGGCACAAAGAATTTGTTGTGATGCACATTGTGCCAGGTCCTGGGCAGAATAATAGAGGCAGTGTGTTTGCGGAGGCCCACGGAGGAAAATTCAATGTAGTTTGGGTCCCGTGTTCATGAAACCACAAGCACAGCAAAATGCTGACTGCAAGTTGACCTATTGGAAGCCAGGATGCAGAGATACGTGTACGTGTCTGTGTGTATTTGGAGGGTCAAGGTTTATTCACTCGCAGCCAGGGACAGGATCATGCAAAAGGCCTTGTCTAGAAATGCTGGAGTGTATATAAAATGAGACGAAAGAGGCTCATGCATTAATATACTGGGCTTTAGAATAGAGAAAGTATTCACATTGTTGGTGTGTTTTTCGTGTGTTGCCATAACTACAGGTTCACCACAAATGCTATTTGGAGGATTTCCTGGTTCTGCCAAGCAAGAAGTCAACTATTATCCTAAAATAGTAACATTAACATTTTTAATCTGGTTAATTATTGCTCCTAATGGACTCTCTGACCCAAGAGTTGAAACCTGAAAAAAGTATTTGTTTTTCTGTGAAACACCGAGTGCCTGTAATATTAATGTTTGTGGATATGTTGAAAGGGCTTCTACTTGCCAAGACAATGAGCAATTACATTTACCACCTCAGAAAAGCGCTGGTAAAACTCAGAAAATTTGAGTAGCTCCAGAGTCTAAAGTATGAAAGCTGTAATTTTATACCTCAAACAAATGAAACAGTAACGACTCAGGCACAAACTAACCTGTTTATTTGCAGCAATGATGATTTCACTGCCCTTAACGCCAAGCATTACACTCCGAAGCTCTCATATATCCATCTCTAGAAAGATATGAGCATTAGAAGATAACAGACTAAACATTCACCTTTTTCCCCCTCAACCATGTCTTTCAAACTTGGTTTCTGTAGACAAAGAAAGGGGAAGGTGAGAGGGAAGTAGCGCAGCTGCTGTTTTTCTGCCTGTTAAACCTCTAAAGCGTTACTAAAAATTCCTGCCACGCTTCATTATAAATTCTTTTCATTGCGACAGAAGTGAACTACAGTGACTGAAATGATTAATTACTTCTGCATATCCATGTAAAAAAAAAAAAAACAGGGCCTAGCAAAAGTATTTGTACACCTCAAACTATTAGGTCATTTATTAGGGTTTTTATGATAAACCAGAATAATGTAGTACATTTGTGAAGTGGAAGCAAAGAATACGTGAACTGTATATATGTATTTTATCTCTTCTTCTCTCTCCTCAGACCTCTTGTGACATATTTCCACTGTAACTGCAGCAACAGGTATTGCAGAGCTGCGTTTACAGATCCAGAGGCTGAGTTTGGTGCCAATTCTTATTTGCTCTGTCAATCTCTGTCAGACTGGATGTAGAATTTATGCGAACATCAATTTTGAAGTCTTATCACAAATTCTCAGTTGCGTTTAGAGCAGGACTTTGACTGGGCCATTCCAATACAAGAATATGCTTTCAGAACCTCGTTCCACAGTCACAAGTCTTCTGCAGCCTCTAACACTTTAGTGATTATCCCATATTAACTTCTTTCATCGTCCAATTTAACACTGACCAATTTCCCTGTCTGCTAAAGAATAGCATCCCCCCAGCATGATGCTATCACCACCATGTTTCATTATGGCAATAGTGTATGATGTTTTCCATCCTCTAATAATTTGCATGGATGCACCTTTATGGCTTGTGGCAAACTGAAGGGGAAGACTCTGATGGCTTTCTTCTTCTTTTAAATCGGTGTTTTTATGCTTCCTTTAATTGTAATGCACTACATGGTTAATAACCTGTGGGAAGTGCTATATAAATAAAATTTGGACAGAAACAGTGTTCTGTTCAAATTTCAGATACCATTTTCTAACCTAGATCTGCTTTAATTTTCTCTAAAACTTCATTCATCAGCTCTCTGGTATGTTTTATGATCTCCATGATGCAGTTTGTTTGTTCACTTATCTCTAAAACCAATAAGAGCTTCACATAAAAACCCAGTTACTTGGTGGATGCCACTTTTTTTTTTTTTACTGGATAAAAATCAGCTGGATAAATAAATATGTACATTGGACTTTGAAAAAAAAAGGAAGATTTGTTTAGCATTTTCCTTCAACTTCACAATTATGTAATAGTTTCTGTTGGTCTTCCATAAGAAAACAGCAATATAGTTTGAAGTCTTAATATAAATGTGAAAAGTTTTAAGAAGCTCTTACAGTGCTCAATGAGAAGGAATCCGCTCTAATAACCCAAACACAACACTAAGCTGTCTAAACACTAGTAGGCAACTGAGGCAAAGAGGTTTCATTAACTCACACAAACACAGACTGCTGACAGAGCAGTCAATCCAGAAGCCAGAGCATAAATCCACAACACAGAAAACGGTAAAGCAAAGCTGAGAGCAAATCTGGAGCAGCAAACTACAACATATATAAATCCTATAAATCCTGCAGGGAACAAAGGAACTATATATATGCAGCACACATAATGTGTGGTGAGTAAATGAGAAAACAAGAGACTGACTGGTGTTTTTTCCTGTAAATGTCAGAAAACAGAAGAAAACTAGACGAGTAGTCTCAAACCCTTCGTCATCCACAAGAACAAACAAACTCACAAATTTAGAAAAGTACAACAAATCTAAAGCAGATATCAACAAAGAGAAGATTTAAATTGATCTAAAATATTGCAGAGCATCTGTGCAAATGTCATACCAGTTCTTATTAAATGAGATTCAACATTGCTGAGCAAAACAGAAAAATCTGTAGCTGTGAAAAAGTTGAATTTATTGTAAACCATTAGTTTGAGGTATAAAAACAGAGCACTACGACTGTGTTCCTATAAATTCAGTGATTCTGTGGCAAGTTGAAGCATGGCAACTTATCAACTTTGTATCTGTGAAAGTTTACAAAAAAAAAAAAACTTTTGACATCTTTGTAAAACTTTTAATTCTTCTCAGGCATATTTATTTCACAGAAAAACAAAGTTTCACTGACAAAACAAGCCATCAAATCAATCACTTTAGGAGAGGAATTTATCATCGACTTGGGTATCCACAATAGATACATTTTTAAAATCATCGACTGAGGGGAATAGAAAACTCATTCAAATAACTGTCAAAGTCAGTTCATATCAATGTCGGACTGTAACGAGAAAACGTCCTACCTTGCTCCTCTTGAAAAGCCAAAAGTTTTTACTCTTGTTCTTCCCCAGAAGGTCCATGGGGCCTTTAGGCGTACCGAGGCTGCTGTCAGAGGAGGCTCGGTTAATACCCTGGCTGTAGTCTTCAAACTCTAAGTCTCCAGGACGTTCAAATCCAGACTTATTCTGCTCTATTATAACCATGGAGTCCTGCAATAAGCACAATTGTTAATAATACTTTCCGAAGAAATAACTATTGTGTGGCTCTGCTCTGCAGAATTAAATGTTTCGGCGTCGAAACCAACTCACATTTTTCTCATTGACATTAGTGCCAGCTTTAGTAATCCCTTCCAAGCACTTGCCAATGATGGGCATCACATTCTTTTCTGTGTCTGAGAACAAGATGTAGCCATGTCCCAACTTTCGTATTCGCCTCTCATCCAAATCCTGCAATTTCTAGAAAGAACAAGACGGTTGAAGTAAACAGTCATCACTTGAAATGAAGATGTGTGTATTGGTGCACAATGTCGTCACTCCTATTTTAAGGCCTAAAGTTGAGATTTGTGATGCTCCCAGTCTTGAAGGAACCTTGAATTCCATCAAATAACTTAAAAAAATAGCGATTGCAGTCTTTGAAAATCTTTTGAAAATGACAAATCAATGACGGATGGACCACCAAAATGTTCAACATAGCACTCCAAAGTTAGCAGTACGGTTTGATGTAATTGTCTGCTCCCAAGTGTAATTAAGTTGCATATTTTCTAAGATCTGGATACCAAATCAATTCTCGTCACATCATTGTTATGCCAGAACCCACAGGGCCACCGGTGGCAGGTTTGCGGGCTGCAGCAGGTTCACTTACATTGAAAATAAGTGGCATGTCATTGAAATAGAACTGGCTCTGCTCTTTGTTGTACTTTTGAAGCTGAGCAGCGTAGTCATTCTTGCAGTCCTCAGCTACACGTGCTCTCATATGCGCCTGCTGCTTAGCCTAAAAACCGCAGAAGAAGCAGACAGGTTGAAAAGTGCAACATGAATCACGCTAAGTGTTTTTTTTTTCTCTCTCCAGTGTGCATTCTACAGTAGTTCTTACTTTTTCAACATCAGCTTTTGTGGCATTGATGTCTTGATCCGTTTTCTCTGCATACTGCGCTGCGCGCTCTGCTTCCCTCCATTCTCTCTCAAAGCGCTTTTTACTCTGGAGGGGAGAAAAACAAACACTTTACTTTCTCTACTGAGGTGTGATCACATCTACCCGTTTGTCTGGAGTAACTGTATTGCGCCGTTTCATAATTAGGATCTATTTAGATTTCAGTTAATTGGACCTAAATTCAATTCTTTGATCAGTGTATTACAATGAAATGGGTTGAATTTGGAGCCAACTGGATACTGTCAGTAATTCACCAGCTATTATTCCTCAATTGCAGCAACGTAGACCATAAGTGGCTTTTGAGGATTGCTTTTGATAATAAAAGAAACTACAGCTCAAATATGCTGGCATGTTACCATTTTCTCATCCTACGTCACATATTTATTTACTTCAGCAGCATCCAATTCTTAATTCATGAGGTTAAAGTTTATTCTAGAATCTTCTGAGAAAGCTTTCAGTTTGATTTAGTTAAGGGATTTTTTTGTCCATTCTTTACAAACAAATTTGTGAAGCCACAGACACTGATGTTGGACGAGGACGGCTGGCTCACAGTCTCCACTCAAATTCGCCCGAACAGATTTTCTGTCGATTTCAGATCGCGACTGGGCCAGCCAGTCAAATTCTTCCTCACCAAACTCACTAATTTGGATGTTTATAGATCTTCCTCTGTGTCCTGTAGAGTCATGTTAAAACAGGGATACGTCGTCCCCAAATTTAAATGGTCCAAAATGTGATCGTATGGTGAAGCATGAAGAAGGCTTAATAAAGAAAATTTCTTCTAGCCGACATCCACCATTTTGTCTAAGAAACAACTTATGTGTAGTTTCTTACTCCTTTACCTTCCAAAACTTTTTGTGCTGCATTAAACAACAAACATGCACAGTACTTAAATAATTATATATATATATGCCATATTATACATATGGCATGCAAATATACACCACTGATAATTTACTGAAAACCTTGTTAGTGTCCAGGACAAACTCTGTGAAATACCAAAGGATTTTAAATTAAAACCTGGTGGCCTTTGCTAGAAAGCTGACAATGCGTGGCCACAAGATCTTTCTAGAAAAGATTGCTAAATCTGTTTGGCACGGTGAGGTGACTGGAAGGGAAGAGCAAGTCCCAGAACTGAATGATTTAGAGACTGTCCAAAGAGGAACAGCCAAACATTCCTCTCTTTAATTTGCTCCAATATTGTAAAATGTTCTAATAGAAAACCAAGAGCTGTCTGACTGGCAAAACGGGATTGTAAAGAGGAGCTACAGAACGGGTGCCAAATACTGTGACACTGGTGATTTAATGTTAAAAAATATTTTTAACTGAGATTTCACCCTCTTGGTGAATCGTTTTATTCAAATTAAAAGACCGATTACCAGAGATGGTGACTAATTCATAGGGTTAGGATTGATTGCGCGGGTAAAAGGAGTTTAGAATAAGGTTGCTTCCAATTTTGTTCCATCTATTTTGACTATAAGCAAAACTCACCTGCCTAACTCAACTGCTTTGGCAGCCACTCGCCTGATTGTGTTTCTATTCAACCTTGAGTCCATCAAGACGCGTGTAAGAAGATTTTTCAATAGTAAAACTGGACTTACGCTGTCGAGCTGCTTGTAGGTGCTCTCCAAACTCTGCTGGGCCTTCTTGGCCTCCAATAGATACTGCAGACATTTATAAAAATAGAGAGACAGAGAGAGAGAGGGGGAGAGAAATGTGGAGGAGAGCACAGAATAAACAATGACCTCAAAGAGCCACGCAGCAAAACAGACGAGAAAACAAAATACCAGTGTGTCTGTTGGAGGCGTCTTCAGTGAGTGTCTGCATGTGGCTGTACTTTGCAGTCCAACAAGACAAAGACAGCATGTTTCTCACTGAGAAACGAAACACCACGGCACAGACCAGACCTCCCTCAAGAGACACTTAAACGTATTTCCTGCTGCAGCAATGAAATCTCCAAACATCTACTTTTTCTATTTCTTCCTCATGCTACTCCTGTACAAGACTCAAAAAAAAAAAAAAAAAACATTTGGTATTTTCTCAAACCATTTCTTAATATGGTGATGCAGGCACACACCCGTATCCAAGTGTATAGTAAACAGCACTGTTTAACTTTGACAAGACCTTGTGTATCTGATTAAAGCAATGCGACAACTTGCAAAACTGTACAAAATGAAAGTCGCGCATACAAATATTACGGCTAAGATAAAAAAGCTGGGCTGTGTGTGCAAGTGAATACTCAATTCAGCTACTGCAGCAAACACCCACTGGTTTTTAGAAGAAAATAGCAATCAATAAATTATTTAAAAACATACCTTAATGAAGCTTCTTTTGAAAAGACAAGTATATTGAGTTCTCAGCAGCAGCTCATTATGGAGAAACTGATCGCCACAGAATAAAGTTCAGCTATTTCTAGGCATTTGGATACATTTAGCGAAAATTTTAGGGATTAAAAAGGTATTAGTCAGGAGAAGGATACCAAAACCAAATCACAGCATTGGCCCTATAAATATTAGGACAGTATAGCCACTGATAATTGGAGAAATTATGGACCTACTACTATTTAACTAAAACATTTACCAGAGTTAATAGAAACCCGACAGTAATGCTGAAGGAGCTGCAGGAACCTCTGCTTAGCTGGTTGTGTTTTACATGTGACAACAATTATCTGCATTCTCTGTGTCAGGACTGAGAAGCAGAGTTGCAGACATAAGCCTTTCCATTCAAAGTAAACAATCCGATATGAAAGAAAACAGAAATGTAATCCAAGGTGCAATCAATAGACGCAAATGAACCAAAGAAGCATCTCTTTGGATGCTGGGAAGACACAGGAGTAGCCAAAAAGAAGAAGAAAAAAACAACAACACATGCACAGTTGAAAAAAATGCTAATTTAATGCTACAACACCTGGGCTGGGAATTAAACCCAAGAGTGAATACTTAAATTATAATTACATCTGATTTTTTTCTTTCAAATATATCCGTTTTTTCAGCTGAATTGTACACAATAAACATCACGCTACTGTAAGATGACACTTTGAGATTATACTTTGTCTCAGTCTTTCACCTTGTAAAAACTGCCGTGCAAGTCTTTTTATATCCACTTCATGTCTTAAGTGGCTAAAAATCATTGGATACTTTTTGCTCCACATCAAGCTCACCGTCTTTCGCTCCTGTTTGAGTTCCTGCAGGTACTTGGTGAGATCAATGCAAATGTTCATGATCATGTTCTCAGCAATTAGCTCCCTCTGCCCAGCATAGTCGTTCATCTCATTCAGGATGTCCACAAAAGACTGGTAGCTGGACAGCCTGTCATTTAGTAGGAGAAAGGAAAGGGTGGAGAGATGAGGGCCGCTGATAAGATGATAATTACACAAAAATTCTGCAGCAAGCTAAGTTATGATAAGGAGCTTGTGACTTCCTTATTCCTGTTTCCTTCTCAGGGAATTTAAAATGTCACCAGCGTCGGCTCAAAACAGCCTCATGAGTAACTGTAGCAACAGAAGGACTCCTCAGAAAGAATAAAGACTTGGAAACAAAAGCAGCTGCTCACCTGCAGTCTGGCTCGTCTTTGTTGCTTCGTTTTTGGTTATATTTCTTTGAAAGATTCCTGTGGATGTGGATATAAAGTGAAACCTAATTATTCAACAAACTCAATGGGAAACATCCAATGAAAGAAGAAACTCTTTTGCAACAATTGCAGTTTTTGTTTTTTTTTTGGAGGGGGATTTAACACAACTGTAATAAAAACTAGAGATTATGAACAAATTTCAATTCTCACTCTTCCTCCTTTCACTCTCCGTTTGACCACATCCACTATATCATGTGCCAGTCTGCTCCCATTTCCTCCTCTCTCCAGCAGAGCTCAGCACTACAACAGATGTGGGCTTGTGTGTGCGGGGAAGCAACTGGGTGACAAAGCGCATAGGATAAGGAGAGAGAGAGAAAGAGAGAGATAGATAGAGAGAGACGAGAGGCAGAAAGCATGCAAGCAGCTGGAGAATTGGGCTAGTGTTTCAGAGACAAACTAGAATCTGTCCCAGAGCAGTCATAAGACCAATGAGCATTTCATAAACAACCTTCCAACATGCAAACATTCAAACACAAACACAAGATGCTTTGAGCTGCACACAAGAATGCGAGCTGGTCTAAAAGGCCTACCTCAGTTGTTTGGCATAGCTTTGCTCGATCTCGGTCCGCTCCTTCACAAACTTCACATACTTCTCCACCAGTTCCAGGCCGGACTGCGTGTGCTTCTCTATGATGTCATACTGATCCTAAGGGAAGGAGCAGGAAGACAAATAAGGAAAAGAAAGCCTCAAAGTTGAGTTGACCTCCAGGCCACAGCTGTGATGTTTCTCCGAGATTTAGAGCACCTAGAAGAATCTAGACCGGGAGGCAATAAACTAAACCCAATGCGCGTCGGTTATGGTCTCCAAAAATTCAGCCAAGAAATGATTTTGTTTGCTTTTTTGCTATTTATAGAAGAAATTAAATTCCTCCATCATACGAGGTGGAAGAATTGAATTGAATTTGGGTTTTTTTAATCCCTACCTCCGTCTCTTCTCTGTCTTTTGGTAAGTGATGCTCTGACACCTTCAAGCTGAGACAAGTCTGGAAGTGTTGAGAAATTGTAGTCTTCCCACACTATGCGCATAAAACAAAAAAAAAAAAAGAGTTCCCAGAGTCTTTGACTAACCCTGCAGCTGACTTTTAGGTTGAACTTGGAGTCTGTGAAAAAGGGATTCCTTACATGTCGAGCCTTGTTCCTCAGCACCTTTTAAGCTGGAGCTCAAATGACACACAGCAGAGCTAATCGCAGGACAGAGTTAAGGAGGGCTGCAAACTGCTGAGCAATTAAAGCTCTAAAATACCAACAAAAAAAAGGCATTCCTGTGTTCTTCCTGCAAAGTCTTTAATTGATAAAACTCTTATTCAAAACTTAGCTTTTTCTTTTTAGTACTCACCTTAAATGAACCTTCATAGCATATGATTGTTACAAAGTGAAAAACTGTTGCTGATGATTATCATTAGCAAACACAAAATAGTTGCAGGATTCTAAAGCTAATTGTAAAGCAGTAAAATGGATTAATAAAACGAAAGACATGAGTCGTCCTTTTACAATGAAACTTTTTGCAGAAGTAATTTGATTCTTTCATTTCAATTTCTGCTTTTTCTTAGTGCTTATATATTTAAAACAAATTTGAACTTTGCTCCATAAGGCATGCACAGAAAATTCTGCACTGATGAAGATCTAAGTTATGGTGAACCTAGTTATTAGCGCCAATGATCTGTGAGGATTAAAACCAAGATAACTTTTGCTTTCCACACAGAAATAAGTGAAACCAAAACCTTTCCCATTGATGAGACTTTTGGTTTTGGATAAACTTCAGAAGTTTTTACAGTTTCTTTTGTATTAGGAAATACATCCGCTTTCCATAATCATTTCCTTGGTGCATTTAGAGCAACAGCTGGAATGACCTGTGTGAGAGTATTTCAGTGAAGTGCAACTCAACAGGCTACAAGAACACGTTCAAATAATGTTACTCCCACCTCCATTGTCTTATATGAGGGATACGATGAGATGCGAGTCACATTGAACAGGTGTGTGGCCCTAATTTCCCTGTCAAATTATCGAATAAAGCTAGAAATATACTCATGTTTTCTGGCATTTGCAAATAAATGTTCTCATGGTGGGGAAAAAAAGGTAGAAATTGTTTATTTTTTTAAATAAGGTGCTTGGGTTCATTTAATCTGCTTTATGGGATTGTAATTCGATACTTAGGTGGATAAGTATGCGTAATATCCCAAGAGTTCATACCCTTTCATTTCACCACAACATGAAAGTGCAGATAAAAAGTTGTGTGCTACGGGTAGCTCCGGCCACAAGCATTTTGCATGACTTCGTATATTATTTGCATATTCGGTTTTTGGATTGGTTTTCAGTTTGTACTACAGCATCGCAAATTAGAAACGAAGAGGAAGGTTTGAAACTGCCTCAGCAGATTGGACGTGTGCACTAGGTTCCAGATCTTAAACCCTGTTGAGTTTCTGCATTTTTTTGCAGTTTCACACACAAAAAAACAGCTTCGTAAAACAAAAAAAAAGGTGCAAGAATTATCACATTCATGCGATCTCAGATAGATAAATGGGCACTTGAACATCAAGATAAAACCTCTTATCCTAATGCCTGTGATTGAGAAGCTCCAATCAGCATTCTTTTTGTCCCCCTAAATGATTTGGCACTTTGTAATCCCACATACATATCTGCAAATGCAAGTTTTAACAGATATTCTAACGCTGTTTATCTCAGGGTACGACAAAGGAAGGCTTTTTTTTTCTTGCACACTTTTCACATTATGGAAGAAAACAGCAGTTTTATCCAGTTTTACTGGATGTTTTCCACCCCCTTCTTTGGCCCCAGGAGCATAAACAGCATTCTCAAAACATTTCAAAGGACTCCAAACAATGAAAGTATCCCTAGTTTGATCTACAAGTAAAGTCCTGGACATTCTCTAATACAACAGGGAGGGATGCAGCAACTGTGGTTGCACCATTTTTCTAAAAAAAAAAAAAGAAAAAAAAAACAACTAAAAGACACTGGAAGAAATTGGATCTACCCTATCTTAAAAAGGAATATTTAATTATACCCACTTCATTCAAAATACTATGGCTATATTTAGAAATGCAAGCAATTTTAAAACGCTGAAAATGGTGTGTATATAAATCAGTGTCCTGTGAAGCCGCAGCACTGGTCAGACTATTTATTGCCTTTTATTATCGCCCTAAAGCCACAGTCAAAACTAGCTTTAAAAGGTCTTCATTTAGGCGGTTAGAGCTCAGATGATTTTCATAAATCAGAAGCAGTTCTATAAAACAACTTCACACAGTCCTTTTAACTGTGTGAAGCTTTCTTATTATAAAACTGCGTGTTTTATAATAAGAAAGCTACAACCGTTAGCAACAGGTGCTCAAACGTCTCCATATCTGAACCCAAAGAAAGTATCCAACTTCCTTTGAAGTCATTCAATGCTGGAAGGAGCCACCCAGGATGTGACGCTTTCCTATAAAAGTTCCACAAATGTTTCAGTCCTGAATCATTCATTCCTGCAGAAAATTAGGGACATTTTACTAGACCTGATCGACGGGACCTGAACTCACTATCACAACTAAAGCCCAGAACCTGCAGTCTTGCACTGCACCAACCAGCAGCTTAAAATAGCCACCGGATTAACAACAATCAGGAGAACAGATGCCAAAGAGCTGAACAGGCCCTGCGCTTTGACTCTGCAGCCAAACATTAACAAAACCAATTATGCAAACAGGAATGTGAATGACCTGGCGGGCCAGGTTGGGCCCAAAACACACAAAAATGATAATTTGCACTTTTAACTATTATGTCCAGAATTCATTCTAAAAGCTCCTGTAAAAACTTTGTGCAATGTAAAAGGAGCTTCCCTGATTTTTTTTTTATTTTTTTTTCAAAGTAGGGCAAAACTAATTAGGCTATTGCACCATTGCATAGGATGAAAAAAAGAGACAGAGTACATACCCAGGGGGAGAGAGTAATGAGGCCAAAACCTCCTTTCCCTCCTCTTTGCAATGCTCCACTTTACACATTAGGTTCTCTGAGAATATACAAGTGGCAAAGCTTGTTTTGTTAAGGTTCAGGACAGTGCCAATCCTTTCACTTCTGCTTCCAAGAAAATAGCTTAGCGTCCACGACAAGGCTGTGCTGCCTCGATTTGGTTTTAATCGTGCACAGGGCCCTTCTATGTGCGTTCAGAACACAGAAATCAGTGCTTTGTCAGGTAGATGCGCCTTATCAGTGATGAGCCATTGTTGCCAAGCCGCATCACAGCAGACGATTTCATCGCTATGGAAGCCAAGTGTGACAAAATGTAAACAGAGAAGAAAAGACACAACCCTCATACAGCTGAAGTACCCGCATGCAGAACAAATTGAGTTTTGACACTGCAGGAAATCAATCTCCATACTTTTGCCTGAACCGTGAACACGACCTCATATGTCCCATTGCTTACATGACTAAAGTCTAATATAGATAAAGTGTCTTTATTGAAAAGCTGCAAATACAAAAAAGCAACAAAAAAAGAGCAGCGCTCATAAGTGCTTCGCTTTGCAAAAAAAAGAAAAAAAAAAAAAAAAGAAAAGAAAAAAAAAGTTAAACTGATTTGCCAAACTTTGTTCCTCTGCAACTTCGACAGCGTGCAGAACAACAGTGCATTACAGTCACCCTGGCTAGATTTCTTCTCACGGTGGACTCACCCAAAGTTCTGTGCCCCAGTCCATGTTCTTTGCCAAACTGTTTCCTGAATACAAAGAACTTCTTCCAAAGTTATCCCAGCCGCCGCAGCAGCAGCAGCTCGGAGAAAGGACGGCCCGCAAACAAACACAATCCCGACTTGATCAGTCACCAAGTAAACACCAGGGCGATCCACTGGTTAACACGTTTTCTTAACAAAACGTGTAAATCGGCTTCATTATTAAACCAATCAACTTTCGCTGGTAGCCGTTGTTCTAATAAGTCCAAATATTTTTCATAGCGAAGGAAACAGAGGGACAAAGTAGCTCGCGTATCCGCGTCACTCCCAAATCCCAGAGTTAGTGCGCTGCCTTAAAGGGCCAGCACACTCATAAAACCCGCCGGGCCTGGAAACTGCGTTACTTCCTGAGGGCTTGGATAGTGTTACATTTCTATTTCCTTCAGCCTCTTCTCCCAGCAGATATCAGCATGCTGAAAGTTTCTTTTTAATAGCCAGTAGTTAAAGTCAGACAGAACAGTTCAGAAAGAGATACAGTGTTTCAAGTTAAAACAAGTAGCATAAATTACTCAATTTTTTTAATCCAGTATTTTGAAAGATGTACTCTGATAAAAGTCTCATATTTTAACATATTCAAAAACCAACAATGACAGGGGAAAAAATACAAATGCAGTGAAATGAAAGAGTTAAAAGTCTATTTAAAAGCTGAAATACAACAGAATAACATAAGAAGCACGTAAATTTGGGAGATCAATTTCTTGGCGAACATATCTTTGAGGCATACATCACTTAACACATCGTTGTTTTTAACAGTAATAACGTTTATTTACAGGCTGCTTAATTGTCTTCATTTCAAGCTTCCGCCATTCGCTTATGTCGTCCCATTCTCTGCAGTGTATCTGACTTGCAATGGGAAATTATATCGTCCATGTTTTTTGCGGCCCTTTAGTATAAAAACAAATACCAAAACTACAACGGCTGTCAGGGCTAGTAGTAAAACCCACCAATACTGGAGGAGGTCAGTGGATTTATCTGCAAAAGAAGAAAAATAAAAAAGTTGAAACAATAGCTTGCGTCTCTTTGTGTATTTTTTTCATCCTTTGTGACATTAGAAATACTCCAAAATTTTTTCCTGCACAGAATAATACCTTGCAACACCAGAGTGGTTGCTCTTGTCACTTTCCCAAGTTTATTCGTGGCAACACAGATGTAACGGCCTGCATTAGTAGACGTGGCTCTTGTGACGGTAATGATCCTCTGGCGCCCCACAGTGGACGCCCGTACATTCTCTGCTAACGAGTCGTTACACTGGATCTCGGGCTTGGGGTTCCCGTCAGCTTCCCAAACTAAAGACACATTTCCGTCTACAACAACTCCTGTGGTTGTATCTGGCTGTGTGAACTCTGGGGGGTCTATTGAATGGAGAGAAAAATGAAAGACTTCTGAAATCATGTTTAAGTTGTTTGCAGCCACAGCGGGCATAAAGTAAAGAGAGTGCAGCTGTAAAGTTTTGACTTACATAAAATGTCCAGATAAAACGTGTGCTCAGCTGTTCCATGTTTGTTGGATGCTTTCACTGAATAGTTTCCACTCTCGTGTTTTTCCCAGTGCTGTGAAAAGTGCTCTTTTCCGTTTTTAAACCAAGTTATGGTAGGGAGAGGTAAACCTTCTGGTTTACACAAAGGTTTCAGCATGTCTTTTACTTCAACCTCATACAGCATCTGACAGGAAAACCTAGGGGCATCTGTAAAGAAACATCAAAATATTATTCAGAATAATCAACAGTTTTTTTTTTTTTTTGGCTTTCTTGTAATAAAATGTAAAAGTTCAATGTTGTAGACCCACATTCAACTGTGATGTGAACATCAATGTTAACCTGTCCCATTGAGTTATGCGCTGTAGCGGTGTAGATCCCAGATTCAGCCCTGGTAAGGAGCTTGAATGAGTCAATCAGTGTACCATTGTAATACCACTCAATAGCAGGTGGAGGGTTCCCATCAGTTTCACATGGCAAATCATTCAGGCGGAAGCTATTTTCCACACCAGCATAACTAGGGCAATTTTTGATGGTCGGCTTATCTGCAGAAAATAAAAGGATTCAGTTATTTAAACATGACTTGGTAGGTATAGAAACACTAAATATAATGCGATGAAGAACCTACAGTGTACAACAGCAGTGTAAGGTTCTGAGGCCATGGAGGGGGGCACCAGTGGCCCCCCAGGACCAAACTGAAACTCAGCCTCGCATCTGAAAGGTGATCCATTGTCACTTTTCTTGACAGTGAAGGTATAGATAGATGATACATTGCACAGTCTCACGGTGGAGTCGTTAAGGCATTTTGGGAGTGGCGTCACGTCAGAGCTTTGTAGGTCATCAGTGAGGACAGTTTCATCGTCTTTATACCACTTCACCGAGAGCTTTTTTGCAGGGGCCACATTGTAAATGTGGCACTGCAGCTGATGCTCTTCGCCTTCTTTCATTGGACGATTACCCACTGCAGAGACCACCACAGAATCTGGAAGCTCTATAAAATAAATAAATAAAACAGCACATTTTATAATATTTCCACCACTGAATGAAAGAGTTTCCAGGTTAAAACAGTGAAAAGCAAAAGGCGTGGTTGAGTACTCACTATAAAGAGTGATGTTTGGTTTCATTTTGCACTGTTCATTTGTATCCAGAGTGACAAAGCAGAAAGGTTCCACGGTGAAATCTTCTAGTTTCTCAATCATCCAGGTGACATGAGGAGGAGATGCACCAGAAGTCTCGCCAACTGCAAACTCCCAGCTCATTATAGCAGCATCTTTGATGGTTGTGCTGCAATTAATCGAAGCTGAATCTCCATATTTCACATAAACTTCGGCGGGCGTCACAGTTAAGCCGCAATCTGTCATTGAAAAGCAAAAATTTTTAACCATAACTTTGATTTGGTGCACAATAAGACATATTAAGACGACATATAATATTAGTATGAAAGCATACTTTCAGGCTCCTCGGGTGTTGGCATGGCTGGAGGGTCTGTTGTTGTGTCATTTTCTTCCACGTCAACAACAATACGCATAGCTGTATTTCCCAGAATATTGGTAGCTGTGCATCTGTAAATTGAACTTCTGTTGACCTGGGTAATGTGAAGCCTGTTTGTGGTTTCCAACATAGGCTGTTCATCAACGGTCCACTGATACACAGGAGGCGGGTTCCCCTCTATGTCACAGAGCAAGGTTGCATTGCCACCCATGGCCACAGTGATGGTCTTGCTAGAAGAATTTGTCCTGAGCTCAGGAGCATCTAAAAAAAAAAAAAAAAAAAAAGCCAAGTGAAAATTTATGTTGGTTGAAATTCTAATAACGTGTTTTTGGAACCATACATGTTAAAAATATAACATTATTGTCAGGCAACATTTTTACTCACAGCGTGCTGAGAGATGATGTGTTGTAGAAATAACAGGATGTTGTGGTTTTAGTTCCTCAAATTTCAGTTGAACTTCACATCTAAACTCAGCAAATTTCTCTTCCCTGCTGATGTTGACACCCAGTACGTAAGAAGTTTTTTCTGGCTCTTCAGTCGAATTCATAAAGGACTCAAAGGTTTTATTATTTCGGTACCACGTGACAGAGATGTTTTGAGCAGGGGCAACATCAAAGACGTCACAGTGCAGTTCGTAGTCTGCCTGCGTTGCATTTCCGTTCCTCACAGAGAGCATAACCTTTGGGTTCTCTATAAAATAATAATAATAAAAATAATAATAATAAAATTATGTTAGTGTTCATAGTTAGACATCTCTCTGCAAGGCTTTTGTCTCTAATTGAAAAGAAACTTACTGTACACTGTGATTTCACGGCCTTCACTGCATTCATAGGTGTCATTTAGCTTCATTTTGCACTCTGCCCTCATTTCAAAGTCTGACACTTTTGCAACACAGTAGACAACGCCATCCTTTTGCGTATTTTCACAGCATACGTTCCCAAGACATAGGCTCAACTCCTCGAAATCTGCTTCTGTGGTGTTGCAGCTTGCATAAAGTTGTGTTCCATTTTCTATGATCACAGGAGCATCCAAGGTCAGGATAGTCGTCGGGGGGCAGGTGAGGTCAGCCCCTGTTGATACGGAAATAATTATATGAGGTAGTATTTGCTGCCTTCTGGTGGTACTGGTTATGCTGCATCTTTTATGCAACCTTTTCTAAAGTTGACAGAAAAGGTGCAAATTCTGATATTCATTTTGGTTTAAACGATACAGACAGACAAAATAAATAATTCTCAAATAAATTTTGCAGGCTACAATAAACGAGTGATTGTTCTTAAACTGTCTAATTCACCGTTGTATGACCTTAACAGGCCGAATATAGGAAATACCTCCTTAAGTTCAGTTAACACAGGAAAGGCGAATTAACTGATCATTTCTTTTTTATCTATGAAAGCTCAAGCCTTCAAAAAGCAGTCTGATGTGAGTACAACATGCATTTATGGAGCTATAAACTGTAAATAAATGTTCTTGTGCAGTCAAAATAAATATACTTTATCACCACACCCCAATTCTGCAGAAAGCCCAAGCCATATGTTAAGCTTTTAGGTGACATATGAGTGTTTTAACACCTACCCCTCCCATTAGAATCACATTATTTCACACTTATAGTACAGAGAAGTGAAAGACATTAACTTTGTAAAACTTAATTCTCACAACCATCAGTTATCTAATACCAAAGTTGCAAGAAATTATTTCTTTAAGTTTAATTGTCTTTAACAGAATGTTCCATTTCTGCATAGTAGTCAGTTGCCTCAAATAGTAACTGAAACAAAAAAAAATATAATAACAAAAACAAAACAAAAAAATCTACTTCGACATCACGTCCTAGTAATAAACAAAACTTTAAAATAGTACGAAGCAATCACACAGCCTCAATGCACTGTTTCCACTCACCACAAGATAACAATGAGAGCAGGAGGAGGCCCAACATCACGAGAGGCAGCATGCCGGACTGACTCACAGGTGGATGGGAGCTCATGAAGGAGGTGAATAGTGTTTAGGGAGGATCCAAAGAATGATGGGTTTTGTAGCTGGATGAGTTAAATCCCGGCCAAAAACTGGCCTCAGCACGTGCCGACAGTTGAACAGCTACTATAGGAAAAAGAAAGCACGCTACCGGGTAAATAATCCACCCTCTTGCACAGGAAACAGGAAAGGCTGGTGCAACCGTTCTTTTTTTTCTCTCCGCCCTTTAGTGCAGCTTCTGGTGATGATTTGTTTGATGAAACTGTGATAAATGAGGTCACAAAATTCTATAGAGAAGATGTAGACGTAATTTGTAAAATAAGTTTTTAGAGTTCTCAACCTTTGAGTGGACATCAAAGCATTTTTATTGTGTTCATTTTTAAGATACAAGTACAATATAGGTTTTGATCAATAGTGCCTTCTCTTGAAAATGGCTGAACAAGCTGGCCAGTCAAAGCCTTATAGCTTATTTTAAGAGACTAATGCTATTGCCAAGATGTAAATCTTTCTTTGCTTTAAGGTTTCCATATCTGTTGTCTAAATGCTAATCCAATGACTGTATTGGTACATACTGAATAATATCACACAGAATCGTATTGATAAAACTGGAGTGAATCACTGACCACTAATGGTAGCCAACAGAAATAAGAAATCTGGTGACGTGGCATGAAATCAACAAACTGTCTCCATGTAACAGTAAAACCAGTGATGACTACAGAGAGAAGGGCATGTAGGGCACAATGCAATTATTAAGACTGACCAAGAGAGAAGCAGCAGTTTTAAAAAGAGACAGAGGAAGAGTGATCTAATGCGTAAAAAGATCTAAAAAATATCCTATATTCTGTAGCTGCATCATTGAACCAACCAAACCTCTGTGCAGAGCGGAGGCAATAACACCAAAAATGTCAAACAACCACAGAGGGATCAGGGCGTCAGAGAAAATTGTCTAAGTCCACAAGCAGCAATGTGGGGAAAAGCGTTTTTGCTTTGAGTGCAGCCGCTTTCAATAACTTGAGTCAGATATATCTGAGCAGAGGGAGAAGGAAACGTCTGAGTCACAGCCATGATTCGTAACTCAACGATTTATGTCAGCTAAGGCATTTGTGTTAAAACATTTCTGTAACTATGCATTTTATTCATAATGTTTAACTTTTTCTTCATCTTCTTTATCCTTGTCAGTGTTATCCCTTGTGAGTTCCCGCAGTAATGCAGCTTAGGTGGGTTTGATCATCATGGAAACTTTCTTCAGGGAGTAGGACCCTCCATGGAACTCAGCCCAGTAGACACCATCTTGGTAGCGGCTTCGATAGTGTCCACCCCGATACCACATGCCGTTCAGATTGGAGTGCGCGCACATGTGATACCACCAGCCTCCTTTCTGGTAATGAGCGCAGTTACCTGATGATGCACGAAACACAGTTATTGACACAAAAAGTCAAATCATTTCAGAAAACTGCTGGGCAGAGACAAGATGGCGACAGACCTGGATAGCTGTCCTTGTCGCGATCCAGAGTGGTGAAGGCCTTGTTGTTGTGCCATGACAGGGAGTCCCCTGCATTGCCGTGGTATTGTCCCAAGCGCAGGCGGTACCAGTCGTTCTCCGGTTCCAGGTGGAAGCTGTCATATTCAGCAGACACCTGCCGGGCCTGCCAGTCTTCTAAGACCACCCGGAGTTTGTACTTGGCCTGCTGGGTCAGCCAGTAGAGGTGTTCCAGGCCAAGCCAGTACTCACCGTTTAGGTTTCCAAAGCCTTGCTGTAACAATGCCGTGCAAAAGAAAATTAGGCTCAATTTCTATGACTTTTACTTAAGTAAGTAATCTAATACACCTCCTGAATGACTCACTTCTAATACATCTGTCTGTCAGTCAATTGATCGGTATGTCTGACTGTCTGTCTCTGTTTTATCTATCTATCTATGTGGTTCAAAGTTGTTTGGTGTTACCTTATACTGCTCCCAAGTCCTGAAGAAGTTGACTGACCCATCCTGTCTCCTCTGGATGACAGTCCACCCACCCTGAGCCTGACTCTGCTCACACCAGGCCTGAAAGAGTCGGTTGGCACTCTGAAGATGAATCAGGTAAATCCCACTGGTGGTCTCGCCTGAATCCAGAACATGCTGGCAGTCCCGCCATGGCCCTAAACAAAAAAGATGTACTGTATGCAACCAATGTAATACTGTTACAATACCTTGCACAATAATTCATCATGTGTTTTATTGCGATGTCGTGTGACTGGCCAACAGAAAATGGTGTGATTGAGAAATAAAGGGAAAATAATACATGGTTTTCTGAACTGTATACAAGTACCTATGAGAGCTTTACAAGATAACTGTTTTGATCTTGAAATTAAATTACACACATGTTATTTTTCCTTACTAATTAGTGAACTGGTTGCACTAGGTTTCATTTTGAATATTAGTTTTGGGTGAACACTTTTCACTGTTTTGGGTGAACACTGTTCACACCCTCGCCTGCAACTGCTCTGTCATTTTTGCTGTTCATATTTTTATATCACCATTTGTACTTGTCTTAAGGATGTTTTTTTTATATATATCATATTAACACATTTCTTCACAAGAAGCAGGGTGCCAGTTTTAGCACTTTTTTCCTTAGTGAATTTAAACAAGCTGTCACAGAAAATGACAATGTGTGACACTAGAGCAAACTGCCAGGAAGAAAACGCAAGCTAAAGAACCCACAGATAATTAGCACTGCTGGAAAGCTTCAGGTAGGAGAACCTTAGAAATTGGAGAAAAAGGGAGGGGAAAAAACATCAACAACAGAAAGAACCAGTCACTTGGAAATGTATGAAAAGGGCTAACCAGCATTAGCATCCTCCATCTTGCTTCTGTATGCATGATTACAAGAAGAGAGAAAAATAAACCTGATGTTCCTAAACCCATACCATCAGGATTTGAACCGGTTTGCTGTTCTTTACTACATCCCTGCTGGTGTCAAGAAAAGCTAAAAACTGTACTAAAATCACAATTTTGTTCAAAAAAATAAAAATTAACATATCTTCCTTTTTTTCTTTCAATTGACAATGGGCCATTGTCAATGGCATATCTCTAAATATTTATTTAATAATTTGTAGACGTTTTAGTTGCTTATAATTGTGCTCTAGTTGTGCTGGTTTTTGAGCTGTGGACTAAAATCCAGGCTTGGGGTTGGTAGAGCAAAACACTCTGCAGCTCCCACTTATCTTCTTGGACGTGGGGAATTTGATAAGGTGAACATAGGAATCTGCATGGACAAAATGCATACACAGAAGAACAACTCCCACATAGTGAAATTCTAAAGCGCTACCATAAAGAGCATTTTCACATGAGCTAAATGCAGCAAAAAAAAAAAAAAAAACTTTAATCACACTTAGGGACAAAAAAGAGCCGTGGTCACTTGCTCTCTGCTCAATCTTGAAATAGTTTGTACAATTGTCCGCTAGATGTGTAATATAAAGCACCAGCAAATACTGCGGAACAAATGTGTGTTCATTATAGAGGCCGTGATCTGACACGCGCTTGGTGTGTTTGACACTGTTTAGGTTTTCCCAAGAAGATAAGACCTCTATCAGCAGGTCACTGACTCCCTGAGCTTCTGCTTCTTATCTGAGAAAATAAATAACTATGACAGAAGTAAGACCTGTTTATGCACAAAGTTTGGAGTTCAATCAGATGCTCTACGTTGTTGTACCTGGGGATTTAGTGAGAGGGAACCCAACGAGAGGCAGTTCAGTAGGAGGACTGATAGTAGAGAAGGACTGATCTCCGACTGTTTCTGCTTGTAGTTGGTGTAAAGGAGCGCTCTGGTCCCTCTGAACGTCATTTGTCAGGATGGTGGCCTTGACGCTGTAGTTGCGGTGCTCATTACTACGATTTTTGGGGGGTTCAGTCATCGCCTGTCCAGACCAACATAAAATAACGCCTGCTTATTTGTTGACCTTCAGACAGTTACATGTTAAATGTAAAAAAAAAAAAAAAAAAAAAAAAAAAACAGAATGCTTTTTCCCCCCGAGGGCTGACTGGAGTCCCTGCACTGGCACTGTTTCTCCAGTTTGGTGATAACCTGGTTCTGGGAGCTCATCATGGAGGTGAGTGCTCCATATTTCTTCTCCAGTTCCCTGTAGCTACTGGACACCTGCAAAGCCTGTAGTTCCCCGCCACAAGCAGAAAAACATGAAGATGAGCTCGGTATCTCAACCAATTGTAAGATGTTGCATTCTACGCAACTCTTGGCTCACATGTGTCGTCGCATTCAGGAGGAGGCTCTCCAACCTCTGGTGCTCCAAAGCCTGGTCCTTCTTATGGATGACTTCATGCAGCAGCTGGGCGTAAAGTTGGGCAATTCGGGAATTCATGCCGCTGCTCTCTTTGCGCAAGGCTCTCACCTCTGCGGCAAGAGACCCTTCATGCTCCATTTGACTCTGGAGCTTCTCCAGTTGCTTCTGCTGTCGTCTGAGTGCCAACTGCAGAGCGGCTACCTCTGATTGGTTGGGCATTGAAGAGTGCGTGTTCAAACACAGAGCTCCTGTGATTTTTTGCTGTGGAACAATGAAGGTGTAGGAGCAACGACCTGCTTTCAGACCCGAGGACGCTCCAGCTTTATGAGTAGTCACGCAAAGGATGAAGAAAAGTTTGAGAGATGTTGCCAGTGTGCTATCCATTAATCAGTCGAATATTTGAGGACAACCTGATGGTGAAAGAGGAAGAATGATGATGAGAATATATCCCAAAGAACCGGCCATCTTTGACAGTGTGCATAAGGAGATAAGTTTCTTGAGGACATGCAAGGCAAAATAAGCGTTTGCAAACCAACAAAAGGCCTTCAAAAGTTTTTGTTTTAAAGAAAACAAAAACTGTGATCCTTCATTTTTAAAATGTTTATTATAAATGGGTATAGTGTGTGTTTTTTCAGAGTTTACTGTTTTGTTGCTATAAGGATTAAGGTTCTTCCTTTCCCCTTAATGCAATCACCCAAACCAGAGAAGTAAAGAAACGATTTATGCCTACATTAGGAAAAATGTTTGACTTTCCCAGAGGTCATCTGACATCAACTTCTGAGAGGACAAGATGGAGATCAAGTTGTGTTATGCTAGCTTATTGTCATCCTCTGTTAAGACAGTATATAAACTTATGAGCTCCAGACTCAACAAAATCATTTCTCTAAGAACTGACAAAATGTCATTTGAATATATTTACACTTTTATATTTCATCTTAAGCACCAATCAGTTTATATGTGATGTAAAACGAATCTGTTAAAGCAACACAAAACATGAATGAAAAGAATGTAAATAGTAGC